CCCCCCCCCACCCCCCCTGCTGCGAGAATCAATTCTGATGTCTGTATTTCGCTGGAGTTTAGGGGAACAGGGTTTGGGGTCTCCGTAGCGGGGTCCACTCTTTGGCACAGACGTCACCTCAGCGCTCATAGAGAAAAATGCAGGTTTTAGAGGCTGGGAGGAGCAGGCTCTGCAAGTTGGCCTGCTGGGAGGCCCCTGTCCCCGATGGTGAGAATCTGGAGAGTTGGAGAGAGGCCCTAGCGAATTCTCTTTATTCTGTAACTTCAGGTACACTTTCCTCCCGATGGGGGAAGACTCCGTGGCCGTGGGCACATTCGGATAACTTTTGTTTGGCCCCATCCTTTCGCGCAGTGGAAAGGATTTGTGGGAGGAACCTCGCGCTGGGTTTTGGGCGTCAGGGACGGCGGGCGCATACTGCCACCCTTGAGAACCAACGCGCTCAGCTTCTGAACCAGGAGCCGCGGTGGGGAGGGAGACTGGGAACACCCGCACCCCCACGCCAACACGTCTGCCTTCAGGCGGCCGTCACCCACCACGATTCAAAGTCCAAGCCGCTCAGTTCCCCTGGATCCCAGACCCTGCCCCCACCCCGTCTTCCGCTGGGCCTGACGCGGCGAAACAAAGGTTCACCGGCAGCCCCGCGGTGACGATTCCCCGCGCCTCTCCTCCGCGGCGCAACAGGGGAAGTAGAATAATTAGTGACATAATCAGTTTGATACTGAATGAAGCCCTTTGGCCCCAGCTGCCTGCTTCTCCCCTGAGTTTCCGCAGACCGTAGAGTCAAGAGCGGTGCCATCCTAGATATCAGATTATTACAGGGGATGGGGCACGTTTCCTTGCGGATATGGAGAAGCCTGCATGTTCGCCGTTAATAAGCAATCACAGCCGCTGCTTGTAATCGCTCCGGGGGCGCATTTTCCGGCTGAGATGTCGGGACTCTGCTTCCCCAACCGAGCACGATCACACGGGAAACTCGGCGCCCACAACAGATGAGGCGGCCGCGGGATGGATGAGGTCCCGCGCGCCGGGGCCGAACCGCTGGAACCTAGGTTCACACCACGGCCGCGCCAACGTCGGCGCGCCTGGGTTAGGGAGCCAGACGGCCGGTCCTTAAGGCAACTCGGCCGCTTCTGGGCTTCGACCAGTTTTTCGCGGGGGTGAGAAGCGAGAGCGCGCGCAGGTTTTCCGGGTCACGGTGCAGCCAGGGGGAGGGAGCAAGTTACACGAGTGGGTCGACCTCCGAGTCCCCGGGCGCAGACCTCAGCAAAGCTGTCCCCGAGCGCGCAGCCCTGCGCTCCGGGCATTTCGTCCCAGAAGCCTCGATCAGGTTGGACGTGGCTCTCTGCGCTGATCACCCACCGTCCACTCCCACCTCCCCGGCTTTGGCTGTATTTGGACCCAAGGAAAGCTGGATGAATTGTACTTTGAAATCCTTTGTGCTTCTGTAGACTTTGTGATTTTTCAAAGTGGAGATTCTGCGAGTGGGACGCCAGAGCCAGGAAAGGAAGGGGGTGCGCGGCTGGGGTGGCTTGGCGACGTAGACCGGGGCTAGGGGATCCTGGAAACCACTCGTAGGCTCCCCCACGTTACCCTGGAGCTTCGGGGTGTTCGCTGAGAAAGTAGGGGTGCGATCCAATGTCCATTATTTGGAGGTAGGGTGGCCTGGGGTGGATAGCCGTGGAGCGCTTTGTCGCAGCCAGAAAGCGGGCCTCGGTGTTCCTTCAAATGGCTTTCGAGGCGGCCAGGGAAGCGCTGCGCGTGGCAAAGCGCCATCGCAGGCAACAGGCACCGCTCCGACCCGCTCTGGCGCACATAACGCGGGCCAGCTGTCCCCCGCGCCACATCCGAAAGCGCTGGTTTTATTCCAGCCCTGGAGCAAGCTCTTGAAAGCGCGTGGGTCCCGGCGCTACCTCCTGATTCAATATATACCCGTATGCTAGGTGCTGATTCTGGGGCAAGTAGCTGCAGCTTATCTCTCCCCGCCTTGCCAACACATCCATTCATTCACTCAAACTTCAACCCATTTCACAGATGGAGAAACGAGAAAGATTCAACATGCAGGCTCTACAAAACTGTCCAGGAACTCAGGCTTTTCAGAACATGAAAAACATGTACATGATTTAGATCACACTTTATAAGCAGATATTACAAATATCTTTTTATAAAAACATAATGAAAAGGACTTTCAGCTAAAGATTTTTTTCTGACTGCATCAAGATAAAGAAATCTCATTTAACGGTTCTTGTGTTAATTAACTAATTACATTGGAATCATTACAGATAGGGTATACAAGGCTCAGTGCCTACGGAGTTGAAGGTGAGCACGTCTGTGCTCTCCTCCTTGGAATGGGCTCTCCTTTGGCTGGCTCAGTTGTACTTATAACCAAGGAAAGAGACATGAACATTATGTTCATGTGCCCCAGCTGCACTTAAAACAACAACAACAACAAAAAACCCAGAAGAGAAACAGAAAAGAAACGGAAGGCAGTGGCTTTGGGGAACATGTCAGGCAGCACGCTCCTTAGACTGGGTGGGCAGAGCCCAGGACCCTCCAGCCCGTTTGCTGTTTGATTTCAATTACACCCCAAGCTTCATGAAATCCAAATGAGACATTTATGGAAAGGTGCCTGGTTTTATGTGGCTCCACTGACAGTGTAGTGGAATACATTGAACAAAAACATCAACACCGCGGAGGAAACGCGGAGACCCCTTGGAGCCCCAGACCCAAATGCTGGCTGGATTAACTCACATCGTGCACCTCTCACTCAGCCTGGGATGGAGCAAGCAGGACCCTCTGGGGGCTACAATGAGGCCAAGGCCATGCCTGTGTGCGAGCCCATTAAGAATCTCTGCTCTGTTGTCTCAAGCAAGAATCCCAAAATTATGCCACTGTCTCACCCTGATAGCACAAAGTGGAATGCACCAACCTGGCCAGGTGAACTCTTTACTCCCCCTCCCCAACCCACTTCCCTTAAAGGTAATTACTGTGAGGGCATTCCTCTTTTAAAAGCAAAACTGAGAAGCATTTGGCTGTTACAGGACTATTACACATCAAATACATATATACATGTATGGATAAACTACAGTGGTGAGTTATAGATGAGTGCAATGATATACAGTTTATATCCCTCCCAGTCCCCCCCCCCACAACCAAGGGGGCCTATATAAATGTCCCAATAAATTCTATTATTTTCACCCCCACTAAAAATGTGTTATCCAAACACTGTCCGTGTTATTCAAACACTTTGTAAACTCTGAGCAGACTTGCTGCCGGTTCTCCTTTTAACCCTAGGAAAACATTCCAACATTAACCGGTCACCAGCGCTTCGCCTGGACTCTGGGAAAACGTCAATGGGTTTTTTGTGGTGAGTTGGTCCTTTTACTATTTATCTATGGCCTTTTCTTTGTTGACGTTACATTTTATTTCACCATCTCGGGTTCACTCTTTGGCCCTTTGTTCTCTGATGGCCAGATCTGCCACCTCCACTGTGCTTTCCGAAGGGGGAGGGAGCTTTCATCACCGTAAGGTTGTTCAAGTTTCACTTTTTTTTTTCTTGAAAGAAAGAAAGAAAATGTCCCATAAGATAAAACATTTTTGGCAAGGACAAGTAATGTTGATTCTGCTGACAACAGCAAGATACCCCCATCAGCACAGTTTCACTTTTATAAGCATTTATATGTCACTGTGACACTAAAATGGACTGATCACCTGCTTAAATAAAAAAAAGTCACCAGGCCCACGAACGTGTGAGGCAAAGGGTTATATTAAATCCACTGTATTTTTTTCAAACAAAAAAGACCAATTTAAATGATCTTAGTTATCAATTCTTAGTTTTAGAATGCTGAGTGCAGTTGTTGCTCACTGTTAAAATATGAGGAGGTGGGGGAATCCTGGAATGAAAGATAATAAACACACCAAAAGTTGCTTATTTCAAAAAATAAATGAACTTTTCTTAACAAGAATCAAGAATTTTTTTATGAAAGTAGTTTTGAAACTGCAAATGAATTCCTGGATTTAACTGATTATCATCTTCATCAACATCATCATTTTAATGGAAGTACATAGAGCCCATAAATAACAAGAAAAGCCACCAGAAGCAAACAAAGTGAATTACTCTCAAAAGTAAATTATGGGAATGATTGGCTAAATGTTGCTCATTAAAATATGCAAGAGCTATGCTGGGCTCACCTGTCTTGCTTACTTTGCACCCTGAAAGGCCTGCCGCTTAGCTACTCGGCTGGTCATTGAAAGAAAGGGGTTAATACATTTTAGAACAGCTGAAATAGACCAAGGACAGTGTTGGGTGTCAGGCTTTCTAACCATAAGACTGGAGTGAACAGAAAAAGGAAACAGATTTTCCTAAGTTAATGGATGGGGATTTTTGTTTTTTAAATACTTTTTAAGATTTTAAAAATCTCTTTTAGACCTTTCCTAACCCCACATACTTACATCATAGCATGGCTTTTTGTGTGCATGTCTGTGGTGACATTTTCCCAGGGGAAAATAGGAAAGCGAGTGCTGGGGTTGCAGTGCAGCTGCTAATGGGAGTGACCACCATGTAGCCAAGAAATATCATCCAGAACGTATACACCACTTGCACATCGCTATCAGAGCTGGCAGAGCCTTTGACATTAATGTTTCAATGGAAGGCACCCTTAGGATACAGGTGGGGCAGGAGGACCACACAACAGGTGGACAGAATCCAACCCTGTTGACCAAGGCTTCAGTATGACAGGGAGCTGGAATCT